ACTTATATCCCCATACCAAAAAAGGGAAATGCGAAAGACTGCTCAAACTTCCGTACAGTGGCCCTTATTTCTCATGCAAGTAAGGTAATGCTCAAGATCCTGCAAGGAAGACTCCAGCAATACATGGCGCGAGAGTTGCCAGATGTTCAAGCTGGGTTTAGAAAAGGCAGAGGAACGAGAGACCAGATTGCCAATATCCGCTGGATAATGGAGAAAGGCAGGGAGTTTCAGAAAAACATCTATTTCTGCTTCATTGACTATTCTAAAGCCTTTGACTGTGTGGATCATAATAAATTGTGGCAAGTTCTTGGTGGGATGGGCATACCAAGCCACCTTGTCGCTCTCCTGAGGAATCTGTACAAGGACCAAGTAGCAACAGTCAGAACTGACCACGGAACAACAGACTGGTTCAAGATTGGGAAAGGCGTACGGCAAGGCTGCATCCTCTCACCCAACCTTTTTAACTTGTATGCAGAACACATCATGCGATGTACGGGGCTGGATGAATGCAAAGCTGGGGTGAAAATTGCTGGAAGAAACATTAACAACCTCAGATATGCAGATGACACCACTCTGATGGCCGAAAGCGAGGAGGAGCGGAGGAGCCTTCTAATCAAGGTGAAAGAAGAAAGCGCAAAAGCTGGGTTGCAGCTAAACGTCAAAAAAACCAAGATTATGGCAACAAGAATGATTGACAACTGGAAAATAGAGGGAGAAACCGTGGAGGCCGTGACAGACTTTGTATTTCTAGGTGCAAAGATTACTGCAGATGCAGACTGTAGCCAGGAAATCAGAAGACGCTTACTTCTTGGGAGGAGAGCAATGTCCAGTCTCGATAAAATAGTGAAGAGTAGAGACATCAGACTGGCAACAAAGATCCGCCTAGTCAAAGCCATGGTATTCCCTGTAGTAACCTACGGATGTGAGAACTGGACCTTAGGGAAGGCTGAGCGAAGGAAGATCGATGCTTTTGAGCTGTGGTGTTGGAGGAAAGTGCTGAGAGTGCCTTGGACTGCGAGAAGATCCAACCAGTCCATCCTCCAGGAAATAAAGCCCGACTGCTCACTGGAGGGAAAGATACTAGAGACAAAGTTGAAGTACTTTGGCCACATCATGAGGGGACAGGAAAGCCTAGAGAAGACAATTATGCTGGGGAAAGTGGAAGGCAAAAGGAAGAGGGGCCGACCAAGGGCAAGATGGATGGATGGCATCCTTGAAGTGACTGGACTGACCTTGAAGGAGCTGGGGGTGGTGACGGCCGACAGGGAGCTCTGGCGTGGCTTGTCCATGAGGTCACGAAGAGTCGGAGACGACTGAACGAATGAACAACAACAATCTTGCAGAGAAACAGCTGATTGTCAAACTGGCCAGGCTTTTCGCTTCTCCTTGGCAGCGCTCGCTCCCGCTTGGATCCAGCAGCCAGGGACCCACTGCGGCCACCCGTAGGGGTCCCGGGAAGGTGGCCGGGCATGGGCCCCGGCCCCTGATCGGGAAATGTAGTTTCCCAAAGGACATTGCCCCATCAATCACCACCCGGAAACCCTCCTTGGACTCTCTTATTTGCCCTCTCCTATTGACTTTCTGCTCCACCTCCCGGACTGTTTTCTGCCACATTTTTGGACCCAAACCTTCTGATCAGGCTTGCTCCGATTCGCAAGCAGCCTCCGCTTCCGTGTGCCTTCACCAGGAAACCATGAATTTCTTTCATTAATAAAATGATATTTCCTTTTTTTTAATAAACTTTTGCTGGGGATGGGGGGTGGGATTGTCTCATGAAATGTAAGATATATGAAATCTATGTAATGGAATATTGTATGAAATGTACTCTGGTCCCCCTCCCCGCTTCTCCTCTTTGACCCATGCCCCAAAAGGAATGTGACCTGAGGATTACTGTGGCAGGGAGGAAATCCTTTGTCCTCCCGAAACGGTTCATATTTACATTTGCATGGGCCGTATAGTTGGCCCCCTCTTCAAACTTACTTTCAGAGCAGACAGTAAGATGAGAGGAGGGTCAACAGAAACTCAGGGATAAAAGGCTGATTGTATCATTTTTAGGTATTTGTTGATCCCCCTTGTTTACAAGGCCCTGAGGTCCAAATACCATCCAAAGTTCCTTTTCATACTTCCTCCCAAATCCAATCAAAAACCAGGAAACTTATTGTTCCCCCTATCTGTCACCCCGCCGGCGAGGCTTTGTTTGTTTTGGGGATGTTGAGTAATATCACTCAATTCCTCTGTTTGTTGTGTGCCGTAGGAAAGGGTTAGGCAGTGGGTGGTGTCATGCAAATTACAACAGAAATGGAGAGAGAAAGGAACCCTGGGATGAGGAGGAAAAAACAGAACATCTAGGATGAAACTGTCCTTGCTTGAAAGCCTTCACTTGGCTGGGGGGAAGTATGGTATTTTTTTGGAAGAACACTGGCAGGGTTTGGACTACATTTTCATGGTGCTCACTATAACTTGCAATGTCAGTGGAGGGACGGACATGGGTGTCTCCTGCTCAGTGGGAACTATAGCTGTTTGTGGAGGTGAGAACCTGTCTGTGTAAGTGGACACCTCTGCCACATACACACATACACGTTTTCACTCTTATTATGTGTATAGATAATGCAATACATCATATTTCCTATTTTGCAGGGAAAGGGGTGTGGGGAAAAAGGAAATGTGTCCCTGGAAGTCACATTCTCTCTGCCTCAGAGGAAGGCAAAAGAAAAGCCCCCTCTGAACAAATCTTGCCAAGAAAACCCCATGGTGGGTTCACCTTAGGTCACCTTGTTAGAAATGACATGAAGGCGCCATGCCAACAAACCACCACTTTCTAAACCTCCAATCTCCCAGCCTGCATCAGACCATGCCACTTTCCCTCTCTTCCTTGCCTACAAAAATTTCTAAGGAGGAGGAGCCAAAGGATGCTTGAGACCACATCAGGGATCCTGAGAGGAGATGAGGAGAGGCTATGGTTTGAACTGTGTCCGCTTATCTTCTGATTCTCACTAGGCAATGTAATCTAATCTTGACATATTGAAACAATGCCTTCATACAGAAAATCCATTCATGGCTTCTACCAACATTTTCTTTTGGATCTCAGGCATGGCTCTGTCAACCTCAAAATGTTCCCCAGTGCACCTGTCCATATCAAATGTCACCAGGGCCTTTGCTGTCCAAAGAGCCTGGACACAAAAGTGGAGGAGAAATGGAGATTCTTTGCTGCCAATCATTCCGTCCATCTGCTAGCCTCCCTTTCTCTCCGACCCTCCCATTTTTCTTGGCACTTGAGCAACATTTAATGAAAAAAGTCTTCTCATGGCTTTAATGAAAGTGATTCCAGAATGCACAGAATGGAGTATTGTTACATTTCTGCTTACTTGGAGGACATGCTTGCTGGAACCTCCCCTCTGGCTGGGAAGAATCAGTGTCTAGGAACATGTGGTCCAACTTTCCTGCCTAGAGAGAGATCACTTTCTCATGGAGTGGGCTACATTCTGTCCAAGAGGTTGCATCATGCAGTTCTACATCTAAAGTTATGCCTTAATAAGGTGATGCAGCCTTTGTTTGGAATGGCAGCATTGCAGAATCAAGTGTGCAATGCATTTCCATGTGGCTACACACTGCACGCTGTTCATCCATACTCAGTGCAAACCAGTGCAAACCTCTATCCAACTTGGTGGCAAGAATGGATGGATCCTTCAAACATAACTATCTTTGTATTGTCGAAGGCTTTCATGGCCGGAATCACTGGGTTGTTGTAGATTTTTTCGGGCTATATGGCCATGGTCTAGAGGCATTCTCTCCTGACGTTTCACCTGCTTCTATGGCAAGCATCCTCATGTGGATGCTTGCCATAGATGCAGGTGAAACGTCAGGAGAAAATGCCTCTAGATCATGGCCATATAGCCCCAAAAAACCTACAACAACCCATTACTATCTTTCAAACTGTTGTGGCTAGTGACTCCCATATCAAGCGATTTCTGAAGCTATTGCACATTTTAATCTGAAGTTTGAGGGATCAGACCAGCCTCAGACTTCTGTGAAAACTGATATTTCAGTGTCACAAACCTTATGAATGATAGAATCAAAAATCCATAGGTGGAAGGGTTCATGAAGGCCTTCTAGTCCACCCTCCTGTCATGCCAGAAGGCATCACTGAATTACATCTGAAAGATGCCCCGGCAATCGCTGTTTCCAGACCTCCAAAAATGGATACCCTCTGCCAAAGTCTCCCCATCAACATGATGATAATGATAATAATAATAATAATAATAATAATAATAATAATAATAATAATAATCTTTATTTATACCCTGCTACCATCTCCCCAAGGGGACACAGAGGTACAATGAATTCTTCATCTTTGTTTTAGCAGGCTGTTCCTTTGCCAACAATGGCCAAAATAGGGATGACTTTGTTTAAAAAATGGGATTACCATTAATTTCAAACCAAGTAGTGGGCTACTCAATACAAGATAAAAATATGAGTGAGGAAAAATTCTACATTATTCTTGTTTTCCAGTTGCTTCCGACTTAAGGCTAACTCACATGGGGGTTTCTTGGGGGAAGGGGTTGCTTTTGCCTTCCTCTGAGGCTGAGAGTGTGTGAAAGGCACAAAATTTGAACTTTGTCCTCTGGTTAGCCCAGACTACTCCACCACACTGACTCTGTAATGATACATTATACCTACTTTTAATTGATTCCCTGCACCAAGAAACAAAAGATTTCACGATCACCTGTAAAAATGCCATCTGGTGGAAGGTACAGATGCCAAAATATTTTTTCCCATCATCTCAGAACGGAAGTGGGTTGATGGGGAGGGATGGGAGTGTTCTCTAAAAGAAATCAAATTTGCTCACTGTTGGCCCAAGCCGGAAATTTGCAAAGATCAAACATTTCTGAACATTGCTATTTAACTTTCAACCACATTATTCAAATATTAACTGAATCACAAATATTTATATACTATGCCTTCAAAGTGGTTTTTACAAGGCAGCCAACACTGTAGCTGGATCTGGTGCCTGGGACTTTGGAGTTAGTGTTACATTTGCAGCAGCCGAATTCTGTGGACTGGGGCCAAAAAGGTTGGGCTGAAGTCTTCTTCATGAACTGAACTGTGACCTGGCTCCAAAATCCTATTCAGATGGGTTCATTTCAGCCATTCTTGTGTGCAAGAAACAGAGGAGCCTTCTACCCTGCCCTTTATCAGAGGATCTGATTCCAGATTCCACATTGGAGAGAAGGATATTAGAGGCAAAGGTGAAGTATTTTGGCCACATAATGGGAAGACAGGAAAGCTTAGAGAAGACAGTGATGCTGGGGAAAATGGACGGAAAAAGGAAGAGGGCCTGACCAAGGGCAAGATGGATGGATGGTATCCTTGAAATGATTGGCTTGACCTTGAAGGAGCTGTGGGTGGCTATGGCCAACAGGGAGCTCTGGCATGGGCTGGTTTATGAGGTCACGAAGAGTCAGGTGCTTTAAACCAGATTATACGAGTCTCCACTGTCAGATAATCTGGGTTCAGATCCTGGGATATTGTGGCAGTGTGGAAGGGGCCAGAGAGATAGAGGTAGATTTTCAACCAGCAGAAGTTGGTGGGTTTCTTGTCACTGGGACAGTGAAGCTAAATAGGGCTTTAGTCCAAATTTTAAAGGAGCTGTCCAAATTTATGAACCCTATCACACAGATGGAATCTGCTGCTTCCATTGTTCCTATCCTGTGCTGTCAAGTGAGTTACCATTTATGGTGACACTAAGGCAGTGGTTCTCAACCTGGAGTCCCCAGATGTTTTTGGTCTACAACTCCCAGAAATCCCAGCCAGTTTACTAGCCGTTAGGATTTCTGGGAATTGAATGCCAAAAACATCTGGGGACCCTAGGTTGAGAACCACTGCCCTAAGGAGACCTTCAAGGCACTTTATTATCATCTTGCAGACTCAAGGATTTGGCTTTTCTGACTGAATCTATGCATCTGGATCTGTGTCTCCCTCTTTTCCTACTGTTTTCTGCCTTACCAAGCATGATTACCTTTCCCATTATTTCCTTGTCTTGGTATGGTCAGGGTATGACAGTCTCATTTTAGTCATCTTGGCTTCTAAGGAGAGTTCAAGCTTGATTTGCTCTAGGATGCATTTATTTATCTTTTTAGCAGCGCACAGTATCTGTAGGACTCTTCTCTAGCATCACATCCCAACATGAGTAAATTTTGCCCCTGTCAGCTTTCATCACTGTCCCATTTTCACACACATAACCCACAAATGAGAAAGCTATATCTTGGATGACCCTGACTTTGATATTCAACGATGCATCTTTACACTTTAAATCACTTTAGATAGCTTTCTTAAAGTACAGAACACAAACCTCCTTACTGATATGGAAGCCACCAGGCAAGATTGCATGCAGCACATTCTTATAGTACCCATAAACTAAGGGTGCCTTCATGCTACCCAATTATAGCTCTATAGTCATACTTTCAGATGTTTTGTGGCCTTCTTATGGAATTCTGGGATTTGAAGTACATAAGGAGGGGTTCTAAGGTTTTCTTCCTCTCCAAACAAGTGACCTCAGGATTCCATAAGATGTTGCCATGGCAATTAAAGTGGAGTAATAGCAATATAACTGAGTGGTGTAGAAGGGAGCTCATTGAGAAGAAGAGCCTTCCCCAAGCCTTGGAAAACTTCCTTCTTGAACTCTTCAAATCCCCTAGCCAGATTAGGCTATAGTGACTAGGAGATTCTGGAAGTTAAAAGTCGAAAACATAATTTTTTAAGCCTTGAACTTGCTTTGCCCCAAAAGGAACTCTTCATGCACATTATTCAAAATATATAAAGTCCTGAAATGTAGAAATTATGGGTTTATTTTTCATGTGGATGCCATAAATCAGTTTTTTGCCTTTTTACACAGTCTGAGACAGTGCCAAGAGACTGTGTTAAAATGTCTAAATTCAATACATGTTAGTAAAGTATTCACAGAAGCCAAATTGCTGCTGCAGAGAGTACAGGAATGGGCAAGTACTTGCAGAACTGTTGTTATTGGATTCTTTCAAAAGCAAATTCTTAAGATGGATGTAAGGCTTTCCACTCAAAGGAGACATCTAATGAATTTTGAAGTGTACCCAAAAAAAGTTTTGATATGTTTTTTGAAACTTATCCAGAATGTTGTTTCATACATCCTTACCTGGGACACACACACAGAAAGCATGAATGCAAAGAAGTATAAACCAAATCTGGAATGTATACATTTATAATCAGAGACCATTGGTTCTTTGACCCAGCATGCCTTGCTATAATTTGAATCCAAATGTGATCTAATTTCATTTAAGTTTGCAATCCTGTGCATACTTACTTGGGAGTAAGCCTACCAAACACATGAGGACTTGCTTCAAAGGGTGCATATGTCACCTATTCTAAAGGTGGTAGCTAAATAAGGCAGCAAACAACAATACAAAAAAAATGATCCCCTTTTCATCCTTAGTGAGTAACAGCCTGATTCCATGCATTTTTATTCAATTACCCAAGTGACACATATCATCATAGATTTGGTAGGGGCTCTATGTTCCTTCGAGTTCAACCCCCGTTGAATACAGAAACTCCAGTTAGAGCAGTGGGTCCCTAGATGTTTTGGCCTTCAACTCCCAGAAATCCTAACAGCTGGTAAACTGGCTGGAATTTCTGGGAGTTGTAGGCCAAAACACATGGGGACCAACAGGTTGAGAACCACTGAGTTAGAACATCCCCAGCAGATAGCTGCATCACTTCTTTTTGAAGACATCCAGAGGAGGAAAACCCCACAATGTCTTTAGGCAATTGGTCCCATTGGCAAGCAGTCTTACTGTCAAGAAGTTCCATCAAAATATATTCTCTTGCAACTTCAAACCATTAGACCTGGTCCTACTTTCCTGGAAACAGGCCTGCCACCTCCTCCCTACCACAACCCTTGAGTTAGTTAAAGGATGAAATTATGTATCTATCACCCTCTTACAAGTGTTCAGAAGCCAAAGTTAAAAAAAATCTACAGTAATAAAGAGCTCAGAGGTCAAGAAGCCAAAAATCAGACCAAAGTCAAAGTAGAGAAGACAGTGAAGAAGAATCTGAGTGTCATAAATCCAAGACTTTCGACAAGAGGGTCTGGTTGTCAAGAGGTGGACGGAAGTTGCTTTCAGTATCTGCTTGGTAGACATTAATCTGCTTTTAAAGTGACTCAGGACCCTTCCACATAGCCATATAACCCAGAATACCAAGACGAAAAATCCCCAAAAGTATTTAGAAAGCACATCTCACAGCTGTGGGCACACAGCCTTTTGCTGCATCTGAGAGTCTGTGCCAAATACTTAATTCGTGTTTGCTCACAACAATTTGGAGACCTCTTCTCCATCTCCCTTTCTTGCTGAACTGCAGGAGGTCTTAGATGTACATCCCACTCAATGACTAGAGGAGGACTTGGCTGTTGTAAGTCTTCTTCATCTTTTGAGAAAAACAAACTCTCTGAGGGGGGCATAATATCATCTCTTCTTCTCTTCACCAGGATGAACATGTTATACTCTCTCATTTAGTTTGACATCTGTTTTATTCTCCATACCTTTTATCATCCTTTTCGCCCTTCTCTGAAGCTGCTCCAACTTGCCTATATGTTTCTTAACACAGGATGAAATGTTACCCATGGTGTGTCAATGAAATGTTGGTGATGACAGTAACTCAAGAAATGAAATGAGAAGAAGCAAGCAACACTATTTTCCTTTAATATTGGGTCCATAGCCAGGCAGGAATCTTTAAAAAATGCACCAAATGATAACATGGCCCTACTGAGCACACTCACATGTCTAGAGTTACTCAATCTCAGGGCCAACTTCTCCAGTCCTCAGGGCAATGCAGAGGAATCTCACAATATTTCCATGAAAGGTTTGTGTAAATAAATTCTTTGGTGACATTTTGAAAATGTAAATGTTGACAAGTAGGATGGTGGTGCAGTGGGCTAAACTGAGCCATTGAAGTTGCTAACCAAAACGTCACAGGTTTGAATCTGGGGAGCAGTGTAAATTACTGCATGTTTTCAAACCTAGCAGTCTGAAAACATACAAATGTGAGTAGATAAATACATACTGTTCCAGTGGGAAGGTAAAAGTGCTCCACGCAGTCATGCTGGCCACATTATCTTGGAGGTGTCTACAGAGAACCCTGTCACAACCCTAAACAGCATCTCTCAGTATAAACAGTCACTCACTATGGTCATCATCAGTCAGTCCAGAGTCAAAGCCAAAGTAGATTCAAACAACAAACTAGACAGGGATAATCCAGGAGGCATAGTCAATAGTCCAGTCCAAAAGTCCTCACCAACACATCCAAACAATATGCAATCCAAGGTCCGAAGTCAAGGTCTAACACAAAACAAGACACACAAAGTCATCCAACAGAGCTCCAAGCTGAAACAGATTCCAAACATTGCTCCCATCAAAGACCAAATCCAAGCTGCCACTCTTTATGCTCCAAAGCACAAGTGCTCTCGCCTGTTGGCCCTTCTCTGTGTCAACTGGGTGGATCTACACAGCTGAATAGCATGAGTCCTCAGTTGCAGTCTTTCTGGGATACTTAACTCTGCCTCATTGGTCTCCTGATCTTGAGTTAACTCAGTACTCACACTTGCCTGAGATACTTGACACTGCACTACAGGGGTAGCTTCCTCAGTGTCAGTCTACAGCTGTTTTTGTTCCCTGTTTCCCACTGATTCGGATGCTGGGTCTGGCAGCCCTTCATCTTTGTCTGTATTGCAGACCCTGACAAACGCTGGCTCTTTGGCTTAGAAATGGAGATGAGCACCAACCTCTGGAGTTGGACACTACTTAAGGTCAGGGGAAAACCTTTACTTTTACATTAGTGCTTTGCATGTGGCAAAATCAATATTTGCTTTTAAAAATTTTGTCTGAATATATTAAAGCCATGGATGCAAAATTTGTGGTGACAAAGGGTCAACTGCACTGTTGTTGATGCTGCTGAATACATCATGGTTTATGGCATCACCAGAGGCAGTCCCTTACAACGCCATCCTTGTAACAGTACATCACTCTATTGCATAATCCACAGGCCTCATGTTTTAAGCAGGGTCCTTAGATCTTAATTTTTGAAGCAACAAATGCTACTACTTATACATATTCCAATGATTACAAATGGCAGGCTATAATTGTATTGGCAGACTAGAATTGGCTCATAATCCAATCACGATTCCCTCCCTCCCCTTCTCTGTTACTCATAAGAAGTTTCTCACACTAGTAGTTAGAAGGCATTGTACAAATATTCATAGCTTTTCTTCTTAATTGATCTTCTGCTGGAAGGAATTGTAGACTTGGAGCCTGAAGGAACATCCAAAGGTCATTCAGTCCAACTGCCTGCCAAGGAAGGAAACTCATGGCCAAAGTATCAAGCAAAAAAAATTAGAAGCAGCAGTAGGGAGAAAGATTATTTGGGGGTGGGGAAACTTACAAACAGAGAACAACCTTGTATGAAGCCTCTGTAAAATTCAGGAAATGAGGCAAGAGAAGAGCTTCATTAGAAATGCCTCTTTTTCTCCTTACCCTTGGTTCACTCTTTAAACTTTAGCCTAAACAAGACTTGGGGAACATACAACTTTGCTTCTTTCTTTGCTATCTTCTCATGAGTCTTAACAAATTAATATCACTCTACTTTTACTTTTGATTATTTTTCTAGGAGAGGAACCCTTGGAAAGGGTATGCAGGAAAGATGGGGAACAACTGAGGTGGAATTGTTCTTTTGCTCATGGGACCTTCCAGAGTCAGGTGGCCAGGTTAGTACCATTTCAGGTACTGATATGTCAACATGAGATTTAAGAACAGTCAAGAGGCTGTGATGTTATTTTAAAGGATAGACAAAGCATCAGCTGCACTTGCTCAGAGTTGGCCACTCTAATTAAAGAAAAAAAACAACCCTAACAAAGGAAAAGGTACACACACCACACACAGGGCTCTTGAGATACTCCCCTACACATATGCACACACCTTGTGAAATGGAAAAGAGAGATACTGTAGTTACAGGAGGGGGAAATTAAGGCATTACCCCAGGGGTCCTCAAACTAAGGCCCGGGGGCCGGATGCAGCCCTCCAAGGTCATTTACTCGGCCCTCGCTCAGGGTCAACCTAAATCTGAAATTACTTGAAAGCACACAATAACAACAACAATCCTATCTCATCAGCCAAAAGTAGGCTCACACTTCCCACTGAAATACTAATAAGTTTATATTTGTTAAAATTGTTCTTCATTCATTTTAATTATTTATTGTTTTTAAGTGCCTTTTGCACTATAATTAAAATATGTGCAGTGTGCATAGGAATTCATTCATGTTTTTTTCTAATTATACTCTGGTCCTCCAACAGTTTGAGGAATTATGACCTGGCCCTCTGTTTAAAAAATGTGTGGACCTCTGCATTACCCTCTCGCAAAGAAGAATTCTGTCCCCAGTGGAATTTTCCATCAGTCCCCAAATATCTAGCATTGCAATGAGTGAGACCAATTTTCCAATCCGATAAGCCTTTATTGCACATATATAGCAAAACAGTATAAAATATAGTATAAATTAAAGAGGAGGGAACTTCACATTTGCTACATGCGAGACATTGAAAACTGTTTGTGCCTAGAACTCTCCTGCTTGCTCTATATGCATTCTCTTGATGACTTTGGCTTTGTCTATATTGGCTGCTTAACCCGGGGCCAATCTGGAGTAGCATCAGATCAACCATGACCTGCACCAGGCTGAACCCACCTTTGCATTGGTTTCCACTGAGCCAAGAACATATCTGCTCTGCTAGGACATCCCCTTGTCTCTACAGTCATTCCCCATTGGTCATGGAGCTCTCTGTCTCATATGCTGAGGCCACAACAGAGTGCTCATGTGATGAGCGAAGAGGGAGTAATGTGACCCCTTCCTTCTCATTGATCATTTGGGTGTCCCATTTTAACCTTAGCAGATGCAACTGCAACAACCAAGTGCTTGCAGGGAGCTCCATAGCTGCTCAGGAATGGCAATGGTGATATACAGATAGTGGAGGTGTTCATGTAAACAATACATTGAACCAAAATGGACCTGATCCAGCTGTCCAGATGGTCACAAAGTCCATAGATACTTCAGCATTTCCTGAAAACTCTGCAGTATCCCATAATTTTGCTTAGTGCGTAGCAAAATCAGGTTAAGGGCAACATATTCTAGATAGATACTTATTGGAGATTACTGGCACCATGAGTATTTCCAGCATCAAATTTAGGGTGAGTAAGAAGGATTTTTTAATGAGTGTAGACAAGCCCATAGCATCTCCCCTTTGGATGCCTAAACTGTCCATTGACATTTTAAGTGAATGCAATTTGTGGACTGAGAACCTGGATACATCTGGCTAAGCATCCCTGCAATGTGATCAAGATGACAACAATGATATTAATGAGAAGAAAGAAAAGCTAGGAGAAGCTGCAGCAGCTTTCCCCCTCTTCTCTCCCCTCATGAGTCAATTGAGCACAAATGACTTTGGTGCTTTGAACTCAGTTTGTAGCAACTGAAGTAAGCTTTGGATAAAGAGGGAAAGTGGGAGACGGAGAGAGAAACCAGAACATCTGAAAAACAGCTGAAAATGGGACAACAAGGGATTTATCGAGACTGTCCCTGCCAAATTAGACCAGTAAGAGGATATGCAATAGGTTCACACATAAACATTAGGCTAAAGAAGCAGAGTCTTAAGAACTCTGGACAATGTTCATGTGAGAACTAATCTACCATGGGCAACAAGAGCTATGATCTTGTTGCCCATGATCCAAACTGTCTTGCAGGCAATTTGCAGTCAAGTGAGTTGGTACACATCTTGTCACAGGAAATCTCCTGGTCTGATTCCACTTCGGTAGGAATCTGGCCAACATCATTTAATCTATTTTCATTCCTATTTCATGAGAAGTGAATAATTAATGAGAAACAGAGAAAAAGGAAGATCTTTTTCCCCCTTTTCCTGCTTGTTATTTTTTCCTTCATTCTTTTAAAGCGAGAGGCCGTAAATGAATGCAAGTAAAAAGAGAGACTAAAGTTTTCTGCTCATTGGAGAGGGGTCATCAGACAGGGTTGGGGGGGGGGGGGCATGGAGAAAGAAGTGTTGCCATAGCTGTAAAATCACAGCACAAGCAGAGAGATGTCACTGGGGAGAGGCAGGCAGGCAATGCGCTCACTGCTAAGCCAAACCAAACTTCCGCCAGCAAACTTGCCTCCTGGAGACTTGGAGATTGGAAGAGTTAGCCTTCAGTTTGCAAAGCATGCTTTTTAGACTTTCTACCATTCCTTTTCCACTTCTCCACTTCCTGATTTATGGTGAGCCTAACATTGTTTTTTGTGTTTTTGCAACTGGGTTGTCTTACCCAGTAGGTTTCCATGGCTGGTGCATCAAAACTGAGACATGCCTTTGTTATTTTTCAGATCCCCAAGTCCTAGAATGACCTTTCTTAGTCTGGCATCCCTTGGATGTTTCACATTAAAACTCCCATGATCCCCAACCACTGGGTATGGGTTCTATGGTTATGATGGTCTTACTGTGTACATGTTTTTTTCCCTGCAGATTTTGTATTTTTGTTTAAATTGGAATACAGGCAGTCCCCAAGTTACTAACATGAGAGGTTCTATAGATTTGTTCTTAAGTTGAATTTGTATGTATGTTGAAACAGGAATATTTTTTAAGTGTAACTCCAGCCAAAAATATATACATCAGCTTTGGATGGTGTTGGGTTCAAAATAATCCTCAGTTATAGTGATTCCTCCAAAAATATAGCAGAATGTTGCAGAGACAGACAGAACTTTAGGTTCAAAATATTTATTGAAGTAAAAAAGAAATCCATTCCAGATAGAAAAGGAGCTAACCAGCTTACTAAAACTCATATTCTAGGAAAGGTAAAAGAAAATAAAGACATAATATCCTTGCAGTTACATTTGGCCTGGAGAGAGGCAAAATGTGTCCTCACTGGAAGGAAGAAAGGGCAGAGAGAGAGAGAACCAACAATGGAGAAAGACCACATGGCCAAACTCAGGGCAATAAAAAAAAACCTTTAAAGAGGAAGTTACCTCATAGAGATTCAAAGGGGGAGGAGATAGTAGCAAGCAAGAAGAGTAAAGACAAAGGCCCCTTTTGGGATAAACATGCATGGGAATGTGGGAAGAGGAATCCCTCACTCTAATCCTATCTCTAATCTCACTACTGACTGAAGACTGGAGACTTGATGACACAAGAGACTTGTGTAGTTCAGGGATGAAACCCAACAGATAGCATAGGAAAGGGTTAACATTCCTGTGGTGTTTGTTTTGCTGTCTGTGTCCCTGTTCAGAAGATTTCACCTCACTTTCTGTCTCTGTGATAATTGGATTTTGAAAAATGTAGCTTATTGTAGAAACAAGGGCTGGCGATAAAGCTTCAGTGGAGACACCTTTTCCCTTGATAACTCTTTCAGGAGTGAATTTCCCTTCCGAGGGATAGATTTCTCTCACTCCCTGTTGTCTCACTCCCATTCCTAACTAGGAACCATTTGTAAGTCAGATGTTTGTTACTTGGGGACGTACTGTACCCTGTGTAACAGGGTCAGAAGAAATGGCATCAGCAGGTGCTGCCTGAGGTAACATCACTACTGTTCCAAGATCTCAGGACCTGATTTTTTTTCCAGTCTTGAGGGTATGGGAAGAAATCTCATGGAGAAAGCATTGCCTCAGAAAGTGTTTGTATACATAATTTTGTCATGTTCTAGACTTGGTACTTTTCATTGGAATGGCATACTGTGTTGATGCTTCATATATCATGCTTAATGGCATCAGCAGGGCCTATTATTATTATTATTATTATTATTATTATTATTATTATTATTTCGATTACTTCTACCCCACTCTTCTCACTCCCGAGGGGGGACTCAGGGCGGCTTACAAAGAAGGCACAATTCGATGCCTATGTCAAATATACATACATACAAAACAGCAATTAAACAATTAACAGGTTAAAATCATCAGTACATAACACAATCAGTAAACTAATCTCATGCTCAGTGTTCAGAGTTCCATAAATCCATTCCATTCAGTCAATTCCTGTCCATCATCAAGGTCCTTCCTCTAGCTGCCAGAACGTCCAAATGCCTGGTCCCACATCCAAGTTTTCAATTTTTTTCTAAATGACAAGAGGGAAGTCGCCGATCTAATCTCCCCGGGGAGTGAATTCCACAGGTGAGGGGCCACCACCGAGAAGGCCCTGCTCCTCGTCCCCGCCAGCCTCACTTGTGATAGAGGCAGAGTCGAGAGCAGGGCGTAGAGGGAGATCCGTTCGGACAAATATACTGGGCCGGAACCATATAGGGTTTTGTAGGTCAAAACCAGCACTTTGAATTGTGCTCGGAACTTGGATCGGCAGCCAGTGGAGCTGACATAGCAGGGGGGTGGTATGCTCCCTGTATGCTGCTCCGGTGAGCAATCTGGCTGCCTCCCGCTGGACTAGTTGGAGTTTCGAGCAGTCTTCAAAGGCAACCCCACGTAGAGTGCGTTGCAGTAATCTAATCGGGATGTAACAAGAGCGTGGACCACCGTGGCCAGATCCGACTTCCCAAGGTATGGGCGCAGCTGGCGCACAAGTTTTAATTGTGCAAAAGCTCTCCCGGCCACCCCATAATAACATGAGGGGGGTCTTTTTAGTTCTCAAATTAACACTGGCATGTCAGAGCCTGAAATGATTCTGACCATCAGCCCCAGGCCCGTAGCCAGGATTTTGATGGGAGGGGGTGCTGAGTTTGTTTGGGGGGGGGGGTGAGTCTGAGTGAAAGAGGGTCTACCCTAGCAAACCTTTTGTATTGTTACCCCAATACCCCCATGCATATGGGATATATTGAGTATGGTGATCAGATCATGATATGAATAAACATAACAGTTTAAATAATGCACCAGTAAGGCCTTTCACGAACCACCATGAGAATTTCGGGGGGGGAGGCTGAAGCCCCTCAACCCCCCCCCCCCCCCCCACTACATGCCTGATCAGCCCTAAACACCATGATGGTAACATCCCTTTTGACATCAGATGAGGTCATTCCTAGACTTCCGGGTTTTGGTCCTTGGATAATCCTGATCTGCAACCCTAGAAGGCTATGAGCTGGAGATGGCTGTTGTACAATTTATGGCATGATGACAGAGGGTGATGATGACGACCACAGTGATAATGAATGGTGATGGAGGAAGGAAGAGAAGCAAGCCAAAGCTGTAGGCGGGAGGTGGGCCTGGTGTCAGACTTTGGGTTATCTTTAGATGTCAGCTAACAGGAAGCAGCTCTCCGAGATCTCAGCTGAGGGAGGGTCTTTCCCAGTCCTACGAGAGCTGTTAATTTTGCTAGAAATTGCAGTGATGCAAGATGTGTGTGCATGCAAAGCACATGCAGTACCACTCGAGTATTGGAAGAGGACAAAACTACAGCGAAGAAGAAAGCCATGCATAATGATGTAGCTGACACTCATCTGAGCAAAAGCAAACATCCTGGGCTGCAAAGTGGGAGGGAAAGAACAACCCTTTACCTCCCAAGGAGGGAAGTGTTGGCTGATCTGTTCATGGTAGCCCCCGTGGGATGCATGGGAGCTCTATTCTTTTTGCCCCACAACATCTCTCATTTGCTCTCTTTGATGGATGGACACCCACCTTGTTAACTTCTTCATTTCTTAGCATTGTTCCTGGTCAGTGGAAAGGAGGAAATGTGGAAGAAGCACATCAGTTGCAGTCTCAGTTGTCATTTGGTGCAGTTGTAAGCCAAGTCCCCTGGGATGCGGGATGCAGCAACGTGAGGGCAACCCAGAGTTCTTTCCCTTTTGGCACTGGCCTCTGACTCCATTCAGAGTGATTTAGGAGAAAGAGTACAGAAAGATCTATTGTTTGGGAAAACAGAGACCAGACAGGAGAAGGGAGGGAAGGATGAGTATAATGTTTGCATGAGCTAAGGCTCCCCACCTGGGAACTGAACTTACAGTTTGAGAGCATAGAAGCAGAGACTGATAAAACATCTGAGAAAAAACAATAAAGGTGTTGTCACAGGCTAGCTTTTCCATTTGTTAGATTTCCTTTGGATATCTTACAAATGAATCATAATACAGGAAGAGTAATAAAATCTGTGCCCAATATCCAGTCTGAGCTGATCCACAACAGAGAACCACACCTTTAAGCAAGGAAACATCCTCACTAGAGAACTATATCAGTTTTGCACCATTTAAACTCTTCTAGTGGGTCCTAGTGGCACAGTTGGGTAAACTGCTGAGCTGCTGAACTTGCTGACTGAAACGTTGGCAGTTTGAATCCAGGGAGTGAGGTGAGCTCCCACTGTGAGGGCCAGCTTCTTCCAGCCTAGCAGTTCAAAAACATACAGATATGAGTAAATCAATAGGTACTACTTCTGCGAGAAGGTAACACTGCTCCATGCAGTCATGCTGGCCACATGACCTTGGAGGTGTCTATAGACAACGTCGGGTCTTCGGCTTAGAAATGGAGATGAGCACCATTCCCCAGAGTCAGGCACAACTAGACTTAACGTCAGGGGAAAGCTTTACCTTTACTTTACCTAACTTTCCTAGCTCTTTCCTATGGAATCCTTGGATTGTCCTTTTTAAAAGATACTTAGAATTTTCCATGAAAGGGCTTTAATTCCAAGGAAGTGCACTAGGAACCTACAGATCCCAAGATTTTATAGGATGGAACCAAAGCAGCTAAATTGAAAAAATCACTATAACTGCAGTGTAGATACAACTTCCGAATGAGCAAAGTACACCTGTATCTTGCCTGCAGTTGATGTTGGTTTGCTCGTTGTCATCCTCACCATCATCATCTTCATCGGAGCCCCTGGTGGCGCAGTGGGTTAAACCCCTGTGCCGGTAGGACTGAAGCTGGTCACAGTTTCGAATCCGGGGAGATTCCTGCTTCTTGGCAGGGGGTTGGACTGGATGGCCCATGCGGTCTCTTCCAATTCTTTGATTCTATGATTCTATGAGAGGTGAATGAGCTCCCTCTATCAGCTCCAGCTCCTCATGCGGGGACATGAGAGAAGTCTCCCACAAGGATGATAAAACATGAAAATCATCCGGGCATTCCCTGGGCAACGTCCTTGCAGACAGCCAATTCTCTCACACCAGAAGCAACTTGCAGTTTCTCAGGTCGCTCCTGACACGACAAAAAAAAATCATCTTCATCACCATAGTCAAGATCTGTCATCTCCCACTGAGTGTCCCTGCACTTCATATCCCACTAATAATATCTTACAATGATATATTTTCCCTCTTGTCCCACCAACTCAATTAGCTGTATTGAGATTTCTGCGCTCTGCCCAGGGTTTGGTGCATTCTCCCCCTTTTCCGTTGTACTGCAGACTCTACATCACCCTGCATGGCATGTCTAATATTCTCCTAATTGAACATAGTAATAAGGGCATAGATGGATAAGGCATGTACAGTATCAAGTTGCATTGGCTGCGTATTACTCTAGCATTCCTATGAACCTGGGTAATATAACTTAAGCGCTTTCTAATGTATTCTTGAAAACGCCTACATAGGCACTCCATTCGTTCATTAGAATCGGTGTCTAAAAAATCCCCGCTCCTGCCCTCGCTTTCCGATTTTGACCTTTTGAAAGGCTGAAGGCCAGAAGTAACATTATTGTTTTAAAACATGAGGTTGACAATTCTTTCACTGTTTTTTTTTCCTTCCAGAGAACAAATATATTGTGACAACCGTTTGGCTGCAGTAAACTTCTCGTTCCTAAGAAAAGAAGGTCTAGGCTGCCTGAGGGTCCTGCGTCCTAAGTTTGTGTGTGGACAAACTGTGGCTACTTAAAGAAAAGAGAAAGATACTTCCTACGTACATAAGCATACTCTTTTTTATTCGTACTTTCCCTATTTACAGAAAAAGGCAGTCATCATGTGGGAATGCTTAAGCACTTAGTACATGCTCAGAGTTGTTTTGTTGTTTCATATGTCTGTAGTATGTATAAATATGTGAGAGGAAGTCATAGGGAGGAGGGAGCAAGCTTGTTTTCTGCTTCCCTGGAGACTAGGACGCGGAACAATGGCTTCAAACGACAAGAAAGGAGATTCCATCTGAACATGAGGAAGAACTTCCTGACTGTAAGAGCTGTTCAGCAGTGGAACTCTCTGCCCCAGAGTGTGGTGGAGGCTCCTTCTTTGGAAGCTTTTAAGCAGAGGCTGGATGGCCATCTGTCAGGGGTGATTTGAATGCAATATTCCTGCTTCTTGGCAGGGGGTTGGACTGGATGGCCCATGAGGTCTCTTCCAACTCCTTGATTCTATGATTCTAATACTAGAAAAGAATTGTAGGCTTGATCCTTGTAGCGGTTTGCTCCCTTTGTTAGCCAAATGCAAATTTCCAATAAATGAAATGTTTCTCATGCAAATGGGTAGTGGTGAGGATTAGAAGTTTTTGAGCTGAAAAGAGGGATGGGATCAGGTGTGGGGCCCAATGCTCCCTAAAAATCAATTCCCAAGATTCTCTCCTTGTCCTGCGCTGCTTTGGTTATTTTCACTTTTCCTCTTGAGCAGCCATTTAAAAATTGCTCTTCTTGTAGGCTGTGCAATATACCCAACTAGGGTTTACATGTAGGCAAATGAAAGATACTCCACTTAGGCAGAAAAAAAGGAAATGCCAAGATACAGAATGGGGGATGCCTGGCTCGACAGCAGTACATGTGAAAAAGATATTGGCGTCCTTGTGGACAACAAGTTAAACATGGGCCAACAATGTCATGTGGCAGCTTTAAAAAGCCAATGGGATTTTGGCCTGCATAGATAGGAGTCTTGTTTCAAATTCCTGTTTTCTGTCTTAGTTCTTCTTTTTGTTTTTTAGCTTTGTGACTAATATTTTTGATTTGCATAAATTGATCAACAGTCCCGCAACTAGTCCAATCTGGTATATCATTTTAGGAAATTCCTTCAGTGGGTCTTTTGACATTAAGATAATCTCATCTGCAAATAACTTTATTTCATATTTTTGGCATTTCACTGTTATTCTTATTAGATCTTCATCTTTGTCATGACCTCCGTTCCCGGTGTTGTGGGGAACCATGAAAGTAGGTCATGCCTTGTGCTGATCAGTGCTGATCAGACCCGCTTCTGTGATATCCCATGGCACTCCTCCTAAAGACATCTTACAGGAATTTTTGACCAGCACTGAGAGTCTCCAAGGAAATGGGGCCGGCATGGTGAAGGGGAGGGCCAGGGTGAGGGATATGAGGTGAGAGGGGAGAAATTCTCAGATGGAACTTTGCAACCACACTGTATGCTGATTTCCAGATTGACTGTGAGCTGATTTCATCTCTAGAAAACAGCAGTGCAGGACAATCTTGGAGTTATTTCCTTGCTAAAACTTCTGTTGTATGTATAAATAATAGGGACAGGAGAGGACATCCCTGTCTCACACTTCTCTGTATTGGAAAGATTTCATTCATGTCTCTATTGATTTTGATTTTAGCTTTTTGTTCTGTGTATGTTGCTTGTACTCTGTTGATAATTTTTTAACATACCTTACATTTTGCCAAGAAAATGCCATGTTTACATAATTGATGCCATCGGTTGGAACTAATTGGAGACTCAACAACAACAACAACAACAACAACAACAACAACAACAAGCCTTCGACAATACATATCTTACATTCTTTATTATTTTAGTAATGAAATTCAAATTTAGTCAGCATCTAATAGTAGATTTGTTTCCAGTACAGATTTTATGTTTTTTTTAATACTATTAGTGTTATTTTTTGCCGTATATATGTTGTGCTATGCCCTGAGTCCCCTGCGGGGTGAGAAAAGCAGAATATAAATGTTTCAAATAAATAAATATTTTGTCTTTCACTATCTTGTAGTATCGTGTAGCCATCTGGGCCTGGAGATTTATCTATTTTAAAATTCTGAATAGCCTCATCAATTTCCTGTATTGTAAATGATCCCAATCATTCTTTTTTCTTTTCTGTAAGCTTAAAATAAACCTTACTCTTGATCCAAGAAAAAGTAGTCAAACTCTTCTCTCACTTTATTATCATCTAGCCACAGGAGCTTGCCCCTCCCTAGGTTATAATGAAGATAGTAAGTAGAAACACACACACTCACAGTAGACCCTGGGTGCTTTCTCCTTTCCGCCCTCTTCCCCTCCTCCTGCCTCAGTGAAATGCCATTCTCCATCATCCCTCTTTGATTCTGGCCTTTAAGTCAATTTTCTACCTACACGTCACTCCGTATAATCTCCAACTAATTCCACCCCCCCCCACACACACACACACACTTGTTTCCATTTATTCACTTAAAGGGTGCTGAGAGACACAAGAACCAAACTTCACTGAGAATCTCTGCAACGAGATGACATCTCCTGTCAAGCTACTCTGTCAAGATCTGCCTTTGAGGACTCCGCTTCTGCCTAAAGCTCACAGGAAAGTCAGGTCCCCATCACGCACTGGCATTTATTTTTCTCTCATGTAGGTCATCACAGTTGGTCAACAGAGTCTAGGGGTCTTTCCTCCAAAAAGTCACTGAAAGAGGTGTGTTGCTATTTAACTCACATTTCCCAAGTGTTTTCTCATAAAGTGTGTTAAATGCAGGGCTATAGTTCCAGGTTGGGGTGGTAAAATGAAGGGTTTTCTCCTCAAATAGGAATTCTCCTTTATCTCTCATGAAATGTTTCTTAGGTGTCCACATTTCTAGCATTGCAAAGTGAAATTTTGAAAATTCTTCCCACCTAGAACTTTTACGTGTTATATTCACGGTCTGCAAACACTTAGAAACAAATGCAGTCATCGCTAATAGTCAACATGGATTTATCAAAAACAAGTCATGCCAGACTAATCTGATCTCTTTCTTCAATAGAGCTACAAGCTGGGTAGATGCGGGGAATGCCGTGGATGTAGCGTACCTGGATTTCAGTAAGGCCTTCGACAAGGTCCCCCATGACCTTCTGGCAAGGAAACTAGTCCAATGTGGGCTAGGCAAAACTACGGTGAGGTGGATCTGTAATTGGTTAAGTGGACGAACACAGAGAGTGCTCACTAATGCTTCCTCTTCATCTTGGAAAGAAGTGACAAGTGGAGTGCCGCAGGGTTCCGTCCTGGGCCCGGTCCTGTTCAACATCTTTATTAATGACTTAGATGAAGGGCTAGAAGGCATGATCATCAAGTTTGCAGACGACACCAAATTGGGAGGGATAGCCAATAGTCCAGAGGACAGGAGCAGAATTCAAAACGATCTTGACAGATTAGAGAGATGGGCCAAAACTAACAAAATGAAGTTCAACAGTGACAAATGCAAGATACTCCACTTTGGCAGAAAAAATGAAATGCAAAGTACAGAATGGGTGACGCCTGGCTCGAGAGCAGTACGTGTGAAAAAGATCTTGGAGTCCTCGTGGACAACAAGTTAAACATGAGCCAACAATGTGATGTGGCGGCAAAAAAAGCCAATGGGATTTTGGCCTGCATCAATAGGAGCATAGTGTCTAGATCTAAGGAAGTCATGCTACCCCTCTATTCTGCTTTGGTTAGACCACATCTGGAATATTGTGTCCAATTCTGGGCACCACAATTCAAGAGAGATATTGACAAGCTGGAATGTGTCCAGAGGAGGGCGACTAAAATGATCAAGGGTCTGGAGAACAAGCCCTATGAGGAGCGGCTTAGGAACTGGGCATGTTTAGCTGAAGAAGAGAAGGCTGAGAGGAGATATGATAGCCATGTATAAATATGTGAGAGGAAGCCACAGGGAGGAGGGAGCAAGCTTGTTTTCTGCTTCCTTGGAGACTAGGACGCGGAACAATGGCTTCAAACTACAAGAGAGGAGATTCCATCTGAACATGAAGAAGAACTTCCTGACTGTGAGAGCCGTTCAGCAGTGGAACTCTCTGCCCGGGAGTGTGGTGGAGGCTCCTTCTTTGGAAGCTTTTAAACAGAGGCTGGATGGCCATCTGTCGGGGGTGCTTTGAATGCAATATTCCTGCTTCTTGGCAGGGGGTTGGACTGGATGGCCCATGAGGTCTCTTCCAACTCTATGATTCTATGATTCTATGATTCTATGATTCCTTGGTGGCTACACCTGATGTTTTTCTTTGGATGCTTAGAATATATGGGTTTATGCTGTTGTTGTTGTTGTTGTTGTTGTTGTGTTGTGTGCTCTCAGGTTATTTCTGATTTATGGCAACTCTAAGACAAACTTATCAATTTGGTTTCTTATCAATAAAACTTTGCAGAAGGGCAACAAAATTGTTATTTCAGGGACAATGCCCCCATCTCTTTAATTATAAGGAGCCATCATGGCGCACTAGTTCGAGCTTTGAACTATGGAGACAAACATTCAAATTCCCACTCAGCTGAGGAAATCCAAAGGTCTTAAACAAGTCACATCCTCTGAACTTTAGAGAATTCATACACAAACCCCCCTCTGAACAAATTTTGCAAGAAAACACTATGTTTGCCTAAGGGATGCCATTGGTTGGAACTAATTGGAGGCACACAACAATAACAACAACAATAACAGTGATATTTATTTATTATTTATTTACTATGTTTTTATACTGCCTTTCTCAACCAAAGGTGACTCAAGGCAGTTCACATACTCTTGCTTCACCAATAGATTATGCACTATGGCCACACTGCATCTTCTCCTATTTTGAACCATTAATGGAATCTAGGAAGTGATATTTTTAGAGCAGGTGCAAGAATATTGTGGTCTTCCAGATGTTATTGGGCTCAACCTTCAGCATTTCTCAACATTTCCCAAATTGAATAGAGTTGTTGGGACTTGCACTTCAATGACATCAGGAAGAATGCCGGATTCTAATTCATGTTCTAGAGCAGGATCCTCAAACTAAAGCCTGCAGACCAAATGCAGCCCTCCAAGGTCATTTACCCACTCCCTGCCCTAAACTTTAGAAATTTCCTGAAAATTTCAGAGTATCTCCTAAATTTGTCGAGAGTAGGTAAACGTTGGATCAAGCCAAGAAAACCTGGCATGCTCATTGCTGAGCCTGACTTTTCATGTTAGTGTACGCAAGCCCCAGGACTCCATTTTCTCCCACTTCAGAATAGGTTCAACATATTTTTGTCTCTGTATAAAATTA